GATCAGGCAGAAGGCCCCAAATGTAGTGGCAACACACTGCATGTTCAATCTGGAGGCACTTGTACACATCATTTAAAAAAAAAATTGCAACAGGGGGGTCCCCGCCAGGGGATAATGCTATATGGGGGTCCTTGGCATGGCAACGTTTGGGAACCCCTGACATAGCCGACTGCAGCTGCTGGTAATTAGAAGTGAGAAGGAGAAAAGAATCACGGAGCAATATAGTTTTTTGACCTTTGAAAATATGTGTTTGTATTGATACCTGTTTAAGTAAAGAGTCAACCAAACTTTCCTGAGACGTATTTTTCTTGGAGTCAAGCTTATTGCTACTTGTGGATATATCGATTTTTGGATCAGACGGAACTACATAATGCAATAATATTGGGTATTTAAAAGACAAATTCCTACAGTGATCTCAATTTAGAAAACTGCAATTTACCACCTTTTTTTTCCCATTACAACAAAAATGTCGCTGCAACCTTCAAAACAAGCAAACATGCAGATAGAGCAATAGATTTCCAGCGCCCCACTGACCCATCCGGTTGAGTCCGTGGCTGTAGTGGCCCCTGTGGTCCCCCTCCACCAGCACCTCGGCCAGGCTGCGGGCATGATGCTGCTTGGTGCCCACGCCTGTCATACACCGCTCGATGAAGCCTTGCACCTCCACCTTGCTGATCAGACATCTGCAAAAGGTGAACATTTCAATATCAGATGATTAGATCCTTGTTTGCTAATTTCAAACCATCACTCAGGCGGTGATGTCGTCAGTGTGCATGGGAAAACAACAACACATATTATAAATGTTGGATTTTGACAATAGTGCTTTGAAAATATTTTGAACAATAAGCTATTGATGCTTTCAACTATAACATTTGAGTTTTAGGATTGTAAATACATGTTATTTGCGTTTCAATGTACGACTGCAGTGCAAATTGTGTTTAAGTTGGTTAATAAGTATGACAATAGGCTGTCTGCTCACTTTTTCATCTGATAGTGAATGGGAAATCTAATTGTACTGCACATAGAGCCAGTAGGCTGATGTTTGTTCTCTGACAAACATCAGCCTAGTTTTACAATAAAGAACCTTGAACCTTGAACCTTGAACCTTGAACCTTGAACCCCAGATGAACAGAGAAAGAACAGCACTGACTTTTGGCCTGAAAAGCAAACTGAAATCCAAACCTTTTGCAACGCTGAAAATTCCTTCAGGCATGAACCCTTTAACCCACATTTTGACAGAATGTGCCACTGTAGGCTAATTCAAAGTTTGAAGTCCACATCTGCAATAGTGATGACACAACCTGTGACAGTATAGAATGTAAATGAACGTGTAGGTCAGTAAAGCTCTGCCAGTATATCATTAAAGTGTGTCTGCAAATCGAGTACAGATGAAGAAATCTGATCCTAGAACCACTTTCTGTTGACTTTGCGAACAGGCAGGACGTTTTGTACCACATGATGTTTTGGAAAAACTGCCGTCTCTCCCCACAGAGTGTTACACTATAAACACTGGAGACACTGTCTCTGTTGTTGTCACAGTTTATGTCATGTGACTTGCAGGAAACTGCAACGATCCCACAGAATGATGAACAATGTAAAATATGTATTACTTATCATAGCATGGGGACTGGCTAAAAGAGGGTTATAACTAAAGTGGCCAGCCAAAACGAAACTATCAGTGTTATGCCTAGACTTCTAAGATCTGACTTTTTAAGCAGACAAGAGTTTTTTTGTTACTTCCTTATTTCATAAGAATTTGTTCGGGTATGATTTGAGCTGTCACATGATTTCCAAATGAATAACACAAGGTCCCTCCTTCAGCACCATATAAAAATAGTAATAGCGTGACTTTAGCAAAGTGAAGATCGTTGAATATAAAGAAAGTTCTGCAGAGAATAAAAACATGTGCTCAGTTATTTGAACACTGTATGCTTGTCCAAAACCAACAACTTTGGAGAATGAATTACAATAACAATTATAATGTTTACCTAAAGATTGTCACAGGGTAAAGTCCAGTGATATAGTAGGTAGTAGTAGTATAGGTTTAGAGCAGGGGTGTCAAACTCAAGGCCCGGGGGCCAAATCCGGCCCGCAACTTCATTGCATGCGGCCCCACAAGAGCTTGCAAAGAATATAACATGTTTATTATACGGTTACATGGCGATTTACAGAAGCACGTTGCCCATAAACTACATGTCCCACAATGCATCTCATTTGGACTTTTTTCTTATAATTGGCCTTTTTCTCAAAATTTGACTTATTTTTCGAAATGTCACTTTTTGATTTTGACTTTTTTTCCAGAATTTGGCTTTTATTTTAAATTAGTTTGTGCAACCATAATGCTGATGTGGCCCCGAGATTAAATTGACTTGGACACCCCTGGTTTAGAGGTTTTGTCTTCCAAACAACTGCTAAATGCTGAAAAAACACTTTTCCAGAAGTTGAATGATAAGTGTTGTGACTCACTATGATGCAACATGTTCGCATGACTAATCAGAACCAGATTAATAATATTATCATGTTTTCATTAACATTGCGAGAACTCATCGTTAATGTTTTCTAGACTGTAATACTTAACACATTACGTTCTACTTCCTGTCTTCCTTCTCTATTGTCCTTCTCATTCTCTTCTCCTCCCTTGTTTCCTTCATTGTACTTTGGGGTATTTGGTGGTTAGAGAGTGGAAAGTTAAGGAATGCACCATAAGTGGGTCCAGATGTAAGATGTGGAGGAGTCTCACTTCCTCTCCAAATAACTGTGTTTTTCAAAAGGGCTGTTAAAGAAAATAACTGATGCAAGTCAACTATTTTGCTCCCCAGAGACAGTTGTGTTAGGGCTAAAAGGATTAATGCCCTTTCCATTTCCAACTTAAACCATTGCTAAAACTGCAGCATGAGATCCACTTTCTGTTTCTTCAATCTAGAGTTCATGTTAGGACAATTTGTGAATTGCTCTACAGTCTTAAAGCATTGAGAAACCAGCTTAAATCAAGTTGTGACACAAACATGTGGTTTTTGTTTATGTGTGTGTAGTAGACCCACACTTCACAGCCCCCCCAACACAATCCATCCCATCACTAACTGCAACAACATATCACAATTGTATGTCTATTTCATTTTAAACCATCAAAACAACACACTGATTTCTAGCATTTTGCTGCCCTCAAAGCATGGAAAATGCTGCTTATTCACCTTAGAAGAGAAGACCAAAACAACTGTTACAGTGTGTCTGTTTGCTAAATATGAAACAGCAATGCATGAAGAAATTGAAACCTTTAAAGGATTACAGATAAATTACAGATGTCAGCGAAGTGCAAGTGTTGCAAAGTCTGTATTCAGCAGTGGATCAAGCTACATTTTGAGACATAACCATAGGACATAACACATACTTTTTCCTATCCAAACTTTTAGTAAATCTCGTCTCTTTCATATTTAAATATCTTAACTTAACACCAGCTACCAAACAATACTTTTGATCTTTACCCTAGTATGTTTTAAGATAAGATAAGATGGTACTTTATTGATCCCAATTTGGGAAATGTTTGTGTTGCAGCAACATAAAAAGACATGACATTGTACAATAAAATGTCAAAGAATACAAATAAACAAGAAAGAAGAAAATATACATGTTGAATTTAACCAGGTATTATATATATATATATATATATAATATACATAAATATATGATGGATGGAATATTAGTATTAAATATTGAACAGATTATATAAATGTAAAATGTTCAATGTGGTTTTATTCCAAGAAGCTGGTCTCTCTCCTCAAGAGGACACACTCAAACCATAACCGGGTTGTGCCTGGCAGGCATACAAGTAGAATAAACATCAGCAGGGAGGCTGGACTTGGGTTGGAGATAGGGGGATAAAACACACAGCTGCACTAACCAAATCCATATGCATGGAGGAGGCCAAGGTGGAAACTTATGTTATGTATTCTGCAAGAAAGAGGTCAAAACTTAACGTACAATGGCTGCATAATGGAAGCGTGACACCTTCCAGTCCAAAGAAAGAGTCGCCAGGGAATGTCAGCCTGTCACAAGGTCACACTGAGGCCCCATAGTATTTGTATAGGTGCTACAGTATGTACAGTAAATGGAATCCCACGACCTATATAGCATTTGAACTATATTTTTTAAATGTATTTACTCGTTTATTTAGCAGGGACAATGCACAGTAATGAACACTTAAAACCTTAAAATGTGTCAAGCGTAACATTACATTTTACAAACATAGCAAAAACAAAATACATGCAAAAAGTGCAAAAGAGCAAGAGCAGCATACACAAGTATTTATGACATGGCAGTACACTATAGCAGCAACGACAAATAAAGTGCAAGAGAAGATACCCCTGTGTTAAAGTGCATTTAGCGGTGATTGCACGTCTGTTTGTTTCACAACCATTCTTTGAGTTGACCTTTGAAGCTATTGAGAGTGGGACAATCCCGTATCTCAGTTGGGAGGCTATTCCACAATGAGCTGCCTTTAATGGAGAGGACACTTTGTCCAAAAGTGGTCCGTCTACGGTGGACTTCACAGTCTCCTCTGGTTTCTGACCTAGTGCAGCGTCCAGTGTCTTTTTTGTGGGTGAATTCCCCTAAGGGGGGGAATTGAGTTGCCATTGTCCATAGCATTCCTGTTTATATAAATGAGGTACACTTAAACATAATTCACATTGAAAGAAAGACAGCCACACATAATCTGTCTTTGATTACATTTCTTTTGGAGCATTTATGAAGGGTAAAAGAACAGGGAGGCGTTTCCTTTGCAGGGTCATGTTACAATGTGTGTCAAAGAAGGTCAATACTCTATACAGGAAAAACATCCATGGAAACAGATCCATGTAATAGCTTGGTTTTGATGCATTCAAGAACTGCTCCAAAGTATTTGTGCCTAAGGTAGAGCATCATAAATCACAAGAAGAAGGAACTTAAAAACATTTTAATGGATGTGGGGGAGGGTTAAATATGTGCTGTTTTGCCAAGCTTTCTGGAATAAACAAGACAGATCTACAAGAGAAAGCACACACACTAGAGAATGCTGTAGCTGTTCTTTTGTTTTGATATATTTTAGAGTAAATGTTTAAGTTAAAATGTTTTTTAAAACTGAGGTCTGATGTGATGAAATGTGATGTGGTAGAAGGAGTCCGTTAGAAGAAAGCCTCTGTCATCTATTTGCTCAGGTAAAGCCTTACATTGAAAAGTGCACATACATACATAATACATAATAAAAAGCACATCAATAAAACCACATAAGTGGCTTGAATTGGTTCCATTAGGTCTTTGAAAGTCGGCCAAATATAACATGCAAACAGAGTGGAAGCAATAAATGTGTTTTGCAGGAAGCATGCTTTTCTGTTGTGCAAGAAGCCAGTGTTAATGGGCAGGTAGTGACTCAAATGCACATTATTTCCGGACAGTTTAAAATGTTCCATGTTACTTTGCTAACCTCTTTTTAGCAACCCTTTGCAACAGTTATTACTGTCAAACAGCCCAGCCCACGTGAACTGTCAACGGAGGGAGAGCCTCGCTGCGGGGAAACGGTGGACCTCTGTCGCGCAACTTCAATGATGCCGTTTAAAATCATAACAAATTAAGGGCGGTGCCGGGGCCGTATCACCGTCTGTGATACTACAGATTCTACAGATGGCCAGTCCGCCCCTGGAAGCAGCAATGGTGGTGGTGGTTATAAATACTTAATTGAGAGCATTCACTAACATTCTCAAGTGAAAAGCCCAGCAGGAAGGTATACATGCACTTTAAACTAAATGCATGCCTTCTCTTATGCAGAAAGAAGTGAGAGTAAAAGTTGTGCAAGAACTTCAACTGAAGACCCTTACCTGCTCATATTGACTTCCGGCTGGTTCTCCTTCAGGTTGAGGGTGTGTTGCTTTTGGCTCTGGTGGTGCTGAGCTGCTGATGTCGCTGGTCCAGGAGCCTCAATTTGCTCTTAAAGTTCTGCAGTGTCAGCAAAAGCGAATCGTCAAATCCTCCAGGTATCCTGTATTGCTCTATGGGCGTGTTGGAGGAGAGGCTTTCTGGGGGAGTTTCTCGGCGCGCCAACGCAGTCGCAGCCTTGACTGGAGAGGTATGTCATGGAGCTCCAGGGCGGTACATTTCTCTGCTTTCACTGCTGTACAGTCTACCTATAGAGGGTACATTTTGTACTGAATTTAAACACTGCCTGACAAAAATACCACGCAATATTTAGCCAACACAAGGAAGTCTACTGTACTGAGAGGCTAGGCTACTCCCATTTCCTTGTCTTTGTGATGTAGTAGACCTGCAATTATATGACCTTTCTAAGCTTATGCAAATCAATAAAATAGTAATGATTAATCGATCAATAAAATAAATAAAAGCTACAATAAAATGTGTACTTGTGGGTTTGTCGCCACTTTTTTTGTTTTTTTCAGGCTCTCTAAAATCTAAATAGGCCTACACACTTTTTTTTTCTTTTTTTCAGACTCTCTGAATATGTAAGCAATAAGCATCAGTGGATGGACCTCTTTTTGCAGTGGCACGTCCTTTAGTCAATGACAGGCCTACATGTGTGTTTGAAAAGCAATAAAAGTCTGGTTCTTCTAACCAATAAGAGATATGTCTTAAGGCTAAGGCGTTGTTGTTGTATAAGAGACTGAGAAAGAATATGGATGGTGGAATCCATCTTGAAACTGAACAACAACATTTCAAAACATATGCACAGTGCCACAGACACAGACAATTGCATTTCGGTTGATAATGCTATTGCTTTTTTGAAAAGTATGAATAGTACACTATATAAATATATAGTAACTTACACGTTATAGTACTGCTTTCAAATGTAAAGCTCCAAACTATGAGTATAAACGGTATAAACCTGTTAAAGCACTAAAAGTATATTGATAGATTTAAAATGTCAATTCATGTTTATCATAATATCGATGCAGCTGGTAAAGGTGAGGCAGATTTTAGTTATGTTTTGGAGAGTATGTGAATTTCCTCTCTTGGTCAATAGGGCCTTTTTCAACCAGTCATACATACAACCTATTTGTTGATTATATTTTGTATTATTAATTTAAAGCTGGAGATTAACTAGTTATTCGAATGTTTTAATAAATGAAATGGGTAAAAAGAGAACTGATGTTGTGAAATATATAATTTATTGACTCTGTTACTTTCCAACACTGTTGAGGGCTACGTCTCTCATTCTCTTTCATTTATGACCGACCTGAAAAAATGTCTTTCCCACATGATGCAGTGTTACATCAACAGTACAGGATGTTTATATAACCTAAAGAACTGTATAGTCAACAGAGAGGACTTACTTTTGCTTTCAAAATCTGAAGAATAAAAAAAACGATATTCCCTGATTCTGAACAGCCGACAACATAACTGCCTTAATAATGATGATTCTTATAACTTGTTACTGTATATATTTGTATTGTACATTATCCTTACTAGAATAAAAGTTTTTAAAATGTTATGCTGGTACAAAACGACTACTGCATCCTAATGTATTTTAAGGCATTGACACATATTGGCATCTTTCTTTTAAATTCAACAGGGTGGTGTCGGCCTTGGCAGTAAACCGACTACATTTTTAACTTTCATCTGTTTGTCATATTGCAATTTCTGACAGAGAGGAGATAGCATCTTAGGCATAATTGTCTCTGCAGTTTATACCATATTTCAACTGTAGGAGATTTTAAACGCCAACCTGCTTTACCTATAAAAAGTAAAGTTCTATCTGAAAAGAAAAGATAAGAGTTGTTTTTCCTGAGTCTTAACTTGTAAGCCCCGTTTTCGTTGTTTCATTTTGGGCTTATTTTTTGCCTTGGGACAGGGACAGAGGGCGTGGAAACCAGTTTAACTGTATCCCACTTACTCATTGTGAAATGATGGAAATGTCACCTGAACTTCTGATTCTGATGTCAGAGTACCAATCAAAATGTAGCACCCGTTTAAAATGTTTCAGCTACTTTTTACATGTTGGAGCTGCAGTCACCTCTTGTATGTTTTTAAGGAAATCTTATGCAACATCTAATGTAAAGACACATCTTCTGGATAATATGTTCTTTTTTATAATCCAAGTAATACAACCTCGATCCAATTTAACATGTAGAGCTGGGAGCATATCATTAGTGACAGAGGATTAGAGGCAAGTTATGTTCAAATTGATTGTGGGAATAAAAAGGTTGATGTTTTCTGCTCAGTATCAAAGTTGTTAAGTTAGAATGCGATTAGCCTCCTTTTTTATTAGGCATTTAACTGAGAAGAGGTTAGCTAATGCGACATATACATCTACTGAGTTTCATGATAATCCACCGTAAATATCAGCAAGTTAAAAAAACTACTTTTCAAACAAAGGATTAGAAGGAAAGATAGCCACAATTGTGAGGAAGGACTAAAACGTGTGTGTGTGTGTGTGTGTGTGTGTGTGTGTGTATATGTGTGTGTGTATATGTGTGTGTGTGTGTGTGTGTGTGTGTGTGTGTGTGTGTGTGTGTGTGTGTGTGTGTGTGTGTGTGTGTGTGTGTGTGTGTATATATGTGTGTGTGTGTGTGTGTCCCTATTTGTAAACCTGAGTGGGCCTACGTGTGTGTGCACAGTATGTAAATATCTCTTTGCCTGTGTGTAGTTTTCCAATTTTGACACGCTTTTTTTTTTTTACCAGAATCCCATGACATGTGTTTTTAATGTCTTTATCACCTTTAGGTCAAAATGTAGTTTTTTCTTAAGTAACACAAAATCCAACATGTAGAGGACCATGGAAATAGCTAATTATCAAAACCCCATAGACTCTCTCCACATTGGACATCAGCTTTCCTCTTGCTCCATCTTGTGTGCGGTGTCGGTACAGCATCTTGATCTAATAAGGATTGCTGGAAAGGCTCATGTTTGCAGTCGGTAGAGACTTCTTGGCTTTTGCTCGGGCTGTGGACTTTAAAGGTGGATAAAAGGTCCAAACATAAGAACAAGGACACATTATACTTAATTTATACACAAACAACTACCTTGAAAGTTAAGGGGATAAGCTAGTTATCTTAATGTTGACTGTTGTTTTGGGAAATGTTAAATATGTTTGGTTCATGAGCTTTTTATTGGTTTCAGTATCATACGGACCAATATGTATAAAAAAGGGACAAAACTGAAGACATTGTAACAAGATAGGTTTACATCCATTAAGATTCAGATACAAAGTTTAGTGTTAAAAGTAAAGAAATTAATTTTCAAGAGTAACTAATTCAATAATACAATCATTATTAAACGAATCCATGAACATATATATCAGTATCATAAACATTGAGCTTGATTTAACCAAACGTGAACTAACTGCCTAATTAATTTGATAACACTCTTTGATTAAAAGTTCAGCATGACTTTTTGTTTGTGAGTGTTTGTTGAACATAACTTTTGTAATGACAAGAAGAGTGTGTGTCCTCCTCCTGCTCCCCCAGGCCTCCTCCCAAAAACAGCATTGGGAAGTTAGCGCCCCCTCCCTCTGCAGTGCAGCTCCTAGCCTGTAATTCCCCTCAGCTCTGACATCTGTAAGCATTTCTCTCAGACCACAGGAGGAAAATAGAAAGTTGGAAGCTACAGGCTGTGATTTGGGTGCGTATAAATAAAGTTGTGAGCGAAGGAGAGGCTGCGAATATGATGGGAGTGCAGAGGGTGGGAGGTCTGGAGCGGCAGGACACCCAAATCATCAAAGACAAGGGACGAGGAGCAGGAAGACAAGTGGATTCTCTGAGGGTTTTCTGTATAGGACATTTAGATTTAGTCTCTATAATGTTGGTGGTTATTTTGTACATAATGTGCTAGTAAACTTGATTAAGACTTTTATCACATCTTCCTTGATTTGCAACCTTCCTATGCTGTCTTTAATCTTCACATACATGAGATGTAGCTAATGATAGCTGTGTCAGTCAAATTGACTTTTGCTTGCAGTTGAAATTATTTCTAAAAAGCCTTAAAAACACAACATTTTTGGGTTCCTGTTTTAAACCTATACTTATATTTTCTGAATCTACTTGTGTCACTCCTTAGTTTAACTTAACACAAGTAGTTCTGTCTAATGCATCCTTACATCAAACTCAATATGTTGTCTTATTATTTTAAGCGTACTACTCTGGGATTTAGCATGCCATATATTTGGAAACATGAAATGTGGGCTAAAAAAGCACTTGCAATTTCACTATCTGTGATGACAGGCATTATAAGTTGGACCAAGGCTATGGCTATGAGGAGTTTCCTGTGGCACTACCCAGGTTGCAAAAGGCTAATATTTAATGAAAGTCTTTTCCAAAATATTCCACCATTTCATCTGCAATAATCCTCCGACTGTGCACAGATTTAGTTGTAATAATCCTGTCCAGCTGCAGGTCTGCACACGGCTCTGTAGTGGTCTGCCTGGGCGGCTCTGCCCTACAACCAAGGGCACACTTAGACCTAAAAAGATATGTTCTGTAGTTGGTACAGCAGCAGGCTCACAGCTGGGATTAAAGGAACCGTGTTGCCTCAGACCCGCCCCAGAATCAAAGCTACGAAGCCCCAAATTATCTCTTGGAATGGGTGTAGGTGCAAGCTGCAGCAGAGAAGCAAGAGCCACAGAGAACAGCTCAACATCCCTGATTTCATTTGCTGGAAAAATCTGGAAAATGCTGATAAACCTCATGAAAAAGAGAAATAGAATATAGTTTTAAATACAATACTGAGTTAACAGTATCTGTTTTATTTACTGAAGATATCAGCAATAACATGGTGTAAGGTTAAAATACTTAACACAACAAAATACAAATATATGAATAATGTCCAAAAACATGGATTTTGTAACAGTAATGAAATGCAAAAAAAAGCTGAAAAATAAGGATAATAATGACTATCATTGGGAGGTGAATGTTGACTGTCCTTTGTCAAGTGCCTTTTCTACCTCAAGACACTTAGCCACAGTCTCCACAGTCTTCTGCTCTCTCTCCTCTTTCCCGGACAAGATATCATTTAAGCAGTCATCAAATTTCCTTTCAACATAAATACAATAAATAACACCGAAAATGACCCTTATTGCTCAATCACTCAGACGTTCTGAACTCTGTTTGTTCCCATTGCAGGTTGTTCCGTCTTTGATCAACTTTTCTCATTTCTACTGACCGTGTCTGGGAGATTGGCTCGTGTAAGCTAAAATAACTTTAATACTGTTAGGGATGCACCAATACAGCACTCACAATACATATTCGAATAAGTATCAAATCAATGTGTTGCTGACTTAAACTAGTATTGGTCATTTTAAGTCACTGGTTCAAAAGTGTTATGTTTTGTCCATTGTGTTATGTGAATCTCATACTGGTGGAAGGGCCAGGATTTGTAATACCAGCATTTGTACTTGTGCATCTCAAAGAGAAAATCCTTGTTAAAAATACTTAAGTGTGGGATTGATCTTAGCCAGCTCAAGTTTCCTTTAAGACTTCCTTTATAACTTAGCTCAGATAGTCAACAAATATGTGGAGCTATTATGTCAGCCATCATCTGCTGAAACTAATCAAAATACCCTCTTCCGGTGAGTGTGAATGTGTTGACTTTAAGACTGATCCGTGTTTGTATTTTGTATTCTTTATTTCCCTCCCTTTGCCTCCATCTACCAGCTGAACAGTTTCATGAAGTGTTGGAAGCCGTCCTCTCCGAAGAAGTCGAAGGAGCCCTGGGAGGTGCTCAGGTGGATCAGCAGGAGCACGAGCAGCACCACGGCCAGCAGAGGGATCAGCATGTTCCAGCCGGCCGCCAGGATGTTGTACCACTTGGCCTTGTCCGAGCACTCCTGGGCCATCTGCAGGTTGCCCTGAGTCTTCTGGTCCCTGGCCTGCACACACAAAAACACACATTATTACATGCAACCACTGGAGTGAGAATAAGAATTAAAGGTCCCCTATTATACGGTTTTTCATCAATATATTATAGTTCTCAGTTATATACAAACATGTCTCTGAAGTGTTTGGCTCCAAACACCAAACAGATCATTGCAGCATTACCCATAATCCCCTCTGTTTCAGCCCTGTTTCCAAAGTGCTGATTCTCTGTCTGTCTGTTACTTCAGACGAAAATAAGGAGCCCCTCCCCACGCCCCTCTGAGAGATATTTGGTTAAAAAGAACACAATGGTGCTCTAGGAGGAGATTCAGGAGATAAGGGGGGGGGTGTTACCTTGGTAGGTGGTTACACAAGCCAACAAATCGTTGTGACATCATAAAGTGGCCAAAATCAGCTCATTTTCAGACAGGTTTTTATATAAATGGAGAAAAAGTGAGCAAATCTTTTTTTCAGAATCTCTTTACACAGACGAGACACATGTTTATGTATAAAATACATGAAAAAGTGGATTTTGCATAACAGGTGACCTTTAAGTTTATTGCCAAGAAGTTTTCACATATTGCAATTTTGTTTCTGGGCATACATGAGCAAAGTAATATCAATTACAATATTAAATAAAAGCCAATATAGAAATATTATTAAAGACAACATTGTAAAAACTCCCAAAAATGTGTGAGAAAAAGAAAAGAAAATTCAATACAAATATGATAAATAACGGTGAAAGAATATGGACAGTCTATCTGAATTTAGTAGAAGAACTGTATCACAAAAACAAAAACAAATGACTATGTTTCATAATAGTTTAAAGACCCTTGAAGGCCTTAACTACGTATTTGACTCTCAAATTATTTTAAAACACAATTTATGGACATACATAACAACAGTTTTACGTTGGCGTCGACACCCGTCTATTCTGTAAATAGTCAAAGGAGGTCAAACAGGCATGTTATAATGTTCAGTTGTGTCTTTGCTTACAACCATTTCATTGCAGCTTGTCCCATTATTCCTAGTTTTCCTGCACTGAGCGCAGATCAAGGTTGAGGGAGGGTGGAGTGATATTAAATCCTTGAGCTGCTCCTACGGTAAAGTGCCTCCTTATATTTTAGAACGGATCAGGCGGAGTCCCTCCCTAGCACTCTCTAATTTCCCATGAGTACTTGCCCATTAGGAAGATGCCAATTACACCATTTTTAACTCCCCAGCCGAGCAGCCAGGCACCGTCTTTAATTTGAGTGCTGAGCCAATGCTAGGCCTTTGATTCAGAGCTGCGCCCTACGCACACAGATGAAAGATTAAAATACAGACTTAAATAAAGGGTATACACGCCCTTTGGTGGTCAGTTTTTCAGTAAACGTTTTAAAAAGGTAGTCACAGTTTGTTAAAACTCTGAATCTTCTTTTCGGTGAGCAAAGCGTTAGTTTTCATTTACTTTATTTTGTCTCCAAAGCTCCATTCCTGCGGTGAGGGCACACAAACTGTATACAGTGTGCGCCATTGGACCAGGGACAAAAGCAAGTCTCTACAATTTGAACATGTTGCTTTTTACATTTTACAAAAAAGATTTTCTTTTTTAATGAGAGCTGGCTGTGTTTAATTTCCCAATGTAGCATTTGCCTACACTGTACATTCTTTTATAGATTTTCTTGCCAACTCGACACAGTTTTTGTCTATTTCAGAAAAAGAAGGCTTAGTTCTCGTAGATCCTATAAGCAGATAAGGTTGCACCAAATTGTCAATATATTGCAGAATGTTAACTTATTTTTCTAAATCTGTTTTTTGGTCAATTTTAGCATTTTTAGCTGTTCCAGTTTATATAGCATTTTTATTTACCAGGTTTCCCAAAGTTTATCAGTCAATAAGAATCAATGAATGGGAAAGGCTCATAAGTATATTTCAAAAGATCTTTTAAAAGGTTATTATAACAGTGTCAGATACACGGCAGTGAACATTGGCTTGTGTTGTTGGACTCTGCAGTAAAAGTTCGGTCATTGTTTTGAAATCTTATTTTCAACATTAAACGTGCAGCCTTATCAGATCTTTTCCTTTTGACACCTGATTTATTTACTGAGATGTTGCATGATTCATGGAACAAACTGAAACATGCCTGTAAAGTGTTGCACAAAAGTGTCTCACCTTGATGGAGTAGATGAGAGCCATGAATCCCAGGCAGCAGAAGTTAACGTACAAGGTGTTGCACAGCGACCAGACTAGATAGTCCTTGGGAGGACACTTGCCAGCGTTGCCCATGTTCACCACGGTGGAAGCAGCTGGCTTTCGGGCAGATTTACTGTTGGTCAGCGGGGTGCAGTCCGAGGGGAAGTTGTACGAATGGTTGTCCATGGTTGCCGTTTAGATCGAAGATCCCCTGCTGTGTGCGGATAGGTAAAACTGGCAAGCTGTTCAGGAGTTGGTGCACGGTACCTCTTTGGAAAAGTAGTGCCCCCCCTGTATGAGAGGCTTATAAAGGCCCATGAAGAGGGAGGTGACCGTGAGAGAACACAAGGGCAGGGTCCTTTAATACACAGCAGGTCTGTCATTATGTGGTCTGAGAGAGACTGAAATAGAGGGACAGAAAGCTGCATGAAGGAGAGGACAGAGAAAGAGACTGCGAATAGAAGGGAGCAGTGCGCAGTCTCTTCCAGTAAAGTGGCCATCACCTCGGCTGTCTTTTAAGGTCTGGTGGGTCAGGTGGTTGAGTAAAGTGTAGGTAGGGAGGCCTTCAGGGACCAGTCTGCAATGTGGTCTCTAATGGAACTGAGTGGGCGCAAAAAGGTCATATTTGATAACACATTTCTAAAATATTTGACAATTCCACAAGGTTTTGCGGTTATAAGACCTAAAATAAGGAAATCGTCCAGCTTAAAAATACTTTTTATTTAAGATGAAGCTCAAACAACAAGTTGATTAACAGAAAATACACTTAGTTTTGGTCTTTTTCAAGCTTAAATGCCAACCATTCTCTGTTTCCAGCTTCTCAATGGGATGGTTTGCTGCTTCTTATTGTAACATACTCTGTGATAGTTCACAAAATGCTGTGGTTTTTAGACTGCTGGTCAGCAAGTTGAAGGCTAGGTGTCACATTAGCATCTAAAATGATGTTAATAGACATTCTTTTCTTTTATAGTTATTTTTGTTTAGCTCAAGGCTGAAGGTTTAGTGTAGGACAACAAGGGTTGAAATACATTTTTATTACATACATTTTTTTGCATTTATTTTGTCAGAAGGCAGGATTAGCTCATAGGCCTATTTCATTTTTAAGCAAATAAGTTCATTCAGTTACTCACGTTGGAGTTTCCCGAACAACGGCTGGGTATCCCCACGGCAGAACAGAGGTGTTCAGTGGCTTGTTAAAAGGAACACCAGTAATTACTCAGATTTTTTTTACAGATTTTCCCAGTGAAACCAGTGGGGTGAGCCATGCAAATATAACTTGCTTTCTGCCTATATGCAACATATGAATTGATTGACACAGAAACATAATTGTTGACATAAACATCCTGCATGTGAGGGACACAAGATTTTACAGTTGAGTATGTGCATGTTTTGTGTTAAAAAAAACACGACATTTAAAAACACAATGTACAGATTATTGAATAATCATCTAAAATTAAACTGAGCACTGGTTTGGTTTGGTTGCCCGTAGTGGGACATGTTTAATGTTGAAGTGTGAAACAACACTGCCCCCTGCTGGCAGCTTACTGTATCAGCATCCATACTGACGGTAATAGCCATTTGTTCTTCATCATTTTGAACTAATTAACACACGTAACATGGGGACATAGAACAGACAATGACAGCCGCAGATTATAGAAACTACAAGTTATCGAAACATGCACGACGAGTGCTAAGTGACACATTTTAACTTTTAACTTGTGTTTTCACCATTAGCGTAACTTATGTATATGACGGAGCCAATTTGATTTGTAACACTAGTGAAACCTTGAATAAAATCTAACACAGCATCTTCGTATTTAACACATTGTGTTCAAAATGTATAAGTGAGTTTGAAACGCGAAAAGAAACAAAACAGCTTAGCAGAGGATGGTTTCGATCCATCGACCTCTGGGTTATGGGCCCAGCACGCTTCCGCTGCGCCACTCTGCTACATAGCATTTTAGTGAATCTTTATATTTATATAGTTTCTATATTTGGATTTAAACAACGATGTGACACGATTCCAGCGAACTATCGTTCTTGTAGAAAATGTATTTTATAGTTACTCGTCCAAGATATGTTTAGCTTAAGCAAAGCAAGAAATAATAATAAATGAGTGTCTTCAGTATCGGTTACATACGATAGGAACTCCGTGTCTCCGTCTCTCAGACTTTGTGAAACCTCACTAAAGAAGATATTCTTGTACACATTTAATAACCCATACACAAACTATTCCTACAGCTACAAAAACGTTTTACATTAGGAAATGATCACTTATAAACTGTAGAACCAAGCACTTACTGGCCGATGGATGAATTGTGGCCGATATCAACGTCTTATTATACATCCATCAGAGCCCTAGAGAGAGGGCTCTGACATCCATGATATCAACCCACTGGTGACGCGCCATATCGTGAAAGCACCTGATTGGTTCCTGGTTCTCCGCTCCAAATTTCAAACAGGAAGCAACATAGTGGCGTGCTGTTTGGCAAAGTACATTATAAAAAAAAAAACAGCAATCCACAAAAATTAGCCAAAGATTGGAATTACAAGAAAACAATTAAATAATTGGTCAATCAGGAGTTACATAGAGATAGAGGTCATAAAGTGATACCGTAAATAATACTTAAAATACAAAAAAATCTTCACTTTGTGGTTGAGCTAGAAGTAAATCCATATCTAGAGGATCTGCGTTGTGTTTGTGTGTGTGTGTGTGTGTGTGTGTGTGTGTGTGTGTGTGTGTGTGTGTGTGTGTGTGTGTGTGTGTGTGTGTGTCTGCATTCTGACCCTTGTCATGTTTTCCGTGTTGTACATGAGATCTGTAGATAAGCTGATAAAATGAGTCTAGTCGATATCAGCAACAAAGATGCAAATGGTTACCCAACCAGCGATGGCAAATGTACAAACCATAGACTGACAAACCCAGTCAAAAATGTGCACATGCCTTGAGTCACTGAAAACTAAAACGGAAGGAACATGTTATCATTCATCACCCTATGAAGTTGATTTGATAAACTTGTTATCAAACCAACTTGATGGAGCCAATCTGATTTGTAACACTAGTGAAAACTTGACACTTGATAAACTTGTTATCAAACCAACTTGATGGAGCCAATCTGATTTGTAACACTAGTGAAAACTTGACACTTGATAAACTTGTTATCAAACCAACTTGATGGAGCCAATCTGATTTGTAACACTAGTGAACACTTGACACTTGATAAACTTGTTATCAAACCAACTTGGATCCTGTTTGATGAGCTTTCAAGGTTTCAACCACTTGGTGATGTGTTTATAGAGTGAGGTCGTTTTTCCTTTGGATCCTTTTGCTAAAAAATTGCTGTACCTGCGTAGATGGAACTTGATTTAATATCAAGCATAGTAAATATAAACATATTGGCATATTTGAACATTGCCTAATGAATCTTAATATGAAATTAAGTTGCTTTATGGTTTGGTTAAATTTTTCACAAGTTGACATTTTTCAGTTTCAGAAATCGTGTGTATCTGAGATTGACGTTACAATGTAATGACAAAATATAGTATGAATAAAACACAATAGAACAATAAAACGACAATAATACCTTTAATTTTCTTCTTGAGCTTGATGGTGCCAGTGCTGTTACCAACACTGTTTTTGGCGATGCGGGTATTACATTACATTGCATTTTTTTTATTTTTTTTTTTATTTTATAAAAAATGTATATGTGTGGTTCAAGTGTAGAGTCACCTTTTCTATAGCTGCTCTGGAGACATTGGTCTCTGTAGCTGTCACTGCCACCTGCCTGAGTCACAGAAATCCTTTTAGTTTCCTTGCATCATAAGGAACACTAATCATTCAAACCAACCGAGTCATTATTTTTTACAATGTTACAGAATTATACATTATACAAAACCCCTTGTGCTGCACAATAAAAAAAACATTGAAAAGGGGACTGCAGTGACTGACTTTTGCCCCTCCATGTGTAGTGGAGTCCTATTCTCCAGGTTGCCACCGTAATTTATGTACCATCACACTGATAAGGTTTTCTCAGTGTGACAATCGCCTCACAAAAACATGCTGATAATACTTTAATCCGTAATGTCCTAATAAAAGTGGTACTATAATTACATATTAAAGCACATGTGGACACCCTTACCAAGCTCCACTTCCTGCGTCACGTTGCCATAGGGCTTAAAAACCCTGGGAGTCTTGGTGGTTCAGCTGTTTGGGNAAAGAAGAATCATCAAAATGTGCCTCAGCAGACATATCTGAGACTCAACTCATGCTCACATAGGTAAGAGAAGACCCCGAGTGGAACCCTGTTCACATCTGTTATGAGGGCCTAAATCGACAATAAAAAACACAAAGTTGAAATTAATTGTGACAAAATAAGACTGTTGATTGGCAGGATTCAGCGTCCTAAAATCATAAGATTCCTTACTACCGATTTTAAATATATACATGAATGAGATGAGCACCTTACCTTTATCCTGAATTTGATCCACATTTCTAATCAAATAGTTGAAACAATTACTTCTTATTAGCGTTCAGTAAAAGAGCAGCATTTAACTCTTAAAGTTCTAAAAAAAATTGCCAGGTAATAAGTTACAACATGATAAGACAAATATTTCCAAAGTTGTTGGGAGCAACATGTAGATTGAGTTAAGGTGCCAACAAGCAACTAACATAGCACCAAGCAATCACGATACAGGACAATATTATGTTTTGAAATAATAGCTTGTTCAGGATTTGATTCAAGATATAAACAGCCAAACAATAAATACATATTCACAAATGTAAAAACTACAAACATAAAAAAGTCAGATAGTCAAAAATAATGTCACACTGAAACACCAGCAGCTAACCAGTAACTCTGTTTGGCGACAGACCATTAACGGCTATTTTTCAGATAGATTGTTTCCTTTTTACCGTCTTTCTTCAAGTGTTTGGCCTTAACAGTTCAGGTTTATTTTTAAAATACCAGCAAACTAACACAATCCAATGACATGAACAAATATTCAAAGGTCTGGCTCATATAGAGCTGGTCCTTTTCCTTTGGGAGTGAATGGACTGTACTGGATCTTCACTGTCTTCAACTGTTCTGCACTGAACTGGGAATTTACATTAAAAAGAGATTATGTGATTACTTCAACGTGCTCAATCCTTTCTCTTTTGTATTGGTTGATCTAGAAATAAAAACATGTTATGTTAGGGAGACACAGTGGCTGCATTAATGTACGAGTACATTATGCAAATAATGTACAGAATTCGAAGAACATTGACCACTGTTGTCCGGCATAAAGGTCAAAGT